CCACGCGGTAATCGAGTGTGTGGCATTGTGCGGCATTTAGCCCTCAACCACACGCAGCAGATACATACCACATCTCATCGCAAAAGAAAAAGAAAATTGAGGTCCCACCGGGATTCGAACCCAGGTCGCTGGATTCAAAGTCCAGAGTGCTAACCACTACACCATGGAACCTTTGTTGGAGTGAGCGCTGAACCTTGTCCTTTTGTTCAGTGTGTTGTTGAAAGTTGAAACAAAAAAAAGGAAACATGTCAATATGGACCTCCCTAAGTCGGCATGGCCTCGCGAAATGCTTATGAGGGAGGCTATGCTGGCTATAAATAAGCGTCGGCCGTGCGTTTTCCGCACCCCCCTCAGTGTATTCAAGGGTGGGTGTGTGGTGAGGCCCTAAGGCAGTACTAAAAAAAAAAAGATTACTAAAACTGGAACAAATAGGGTCTCGCTCCACTACTGTCCACTGTACAAAAATGGACAGTTCGACTTCGCTCCACTTACTGTCCACTGTCCATGTGCGAAATCCCTCGGACAGATGTCAGAAATCGCGTGGAACGTTGACTGTCCATTTTTGTACAGCTCCCGGCCTGCACAAGTCATTTCCTGGACGGTCCTCCTTGGAATCCACGGACCCTCCGCCGTTTCGGACAGTGAGCCTGGAGTCTGGGCGGACAAGTGTGCAAGTTTTCGAGTTTTCCACTGTCCGCCCATTCCAACTTTTGTACAGTGCTTCGTGGCACTGGTACTCCGGGACACTGCTCGGATGTCCGCCCAGCTCTGCGGACACACTGCTCGGTATACCGCGAGCCTTGCGATGACGAAATCGGACGGCCATTCCGATTTGGCAGAGGCCAGATCACTTTCCGGATTCCTGCCAAAAAAAATTGGGACCCGCATGTCCCACGACGCTTCTGGCTTGGACAGCGGCGTCATCGCTCCACTACTGTCCACTGTACGTGCGAGTTTTCGAGAAGATCTGCTCAGTTGTTACACAGTGGACAGTAAGTGGAGCGACGTCGCATTTTCCACTGTCCGCTGTGGAATATTTCGCTCTGACGACTGTCCACCAACTGTCCGAAAAATTGTACAGTGGACAGAAGTGGAGCGAGACCCATACATTGAATACAACACAACTTTTGGCGCCGGAGTACTGAAAGTGCAACAAATACAGTGAATAGAACACGACTTTTTTTGTCACTTTTTGTCACTTTTTGAAGAGTTTCCGCATCGCCACACAGCGTCTTTGAAAGGTGGCGCACAAGAAAACATTTCAGAGATGGCGGAGGGCCTGGATGCACTACTCGACGAATGCGCAAAATGAAACTGAATACTTTGCTAGAACATGGAAAGATACACCGCTGTATTTTTTGTCTTTTCTGCATGTGGAGAGTAGTTCAGCGAGGGACCAGAGTAAGGCTCTTGAAATGATCGAAACGCCATCCTGCAACGGTTGGGTGGGTTTGTAAGTGTGTCCTTGGCCCACACCTTGACGGACGGACTGTTTATTTTTTCGACAGAGAGTTGGACAGGCAGAGGCTGTCAGCATGACGCCTCTCCAAAAAAGACAAATAGACTAGGGAGAGGATGAGATAGATGCGTACTACCAAGAAGCATGAAATAGATCAGGGAAGAATATAGTAGCTTACCTTAAAAAAAAAAAAAAACACATACAAAGCCGTATGTTACTATGTTTGTCTTTTGCAGACTTGTTTCTTTTTGTGTTTTTTTTTGGTTTTTTGCGTACCCTTGTTCAAGAGTGCTGTGTGCGGTGTGATAATTGACGAGCGAGGTTAGGCTGGGACACTGCGGTTTGGTGGGAGTTAATTAAGAGCTGTTGGACAAAGCTGAACTGGCTAAAGCTTTCGGAGGGAGATGACTCCGGGTAGAATTTTGTGAGGTTCCCCGGCCTCGTTCTGAAATTTTTGGAATATACTTGAATGTCTTGGTATAAAAAAAGGGAAAAAAAAARAAAAAAAAAAAAAAAAAAGAGAGTGCGGTGTGGTGAAGGGGTACCGAAAACAGCTCTTGAAACACTTCCTTGTTTTCAAAAGCGGTGTGGTCCGGTCCTTTTTTACTTCGGTTTTTTTTTTTTTTTTTTTTTTTTTTTTGAGGGCTTACTTTTTATTTGAGGATTTTTTTTTTATTTTTTTTTTGAAGCCTTATTTTATTTTAATGTTTTCCCCATTTTTGTAAAGAATTTTTTTGCCTTCTCACACAATAACTCATAGACTGGGTTTTCTGGTTGGTACTACTTGGTAGTTTCTCAGACAGTCTAGACGTTCTGCCATTCTTGTCAGGGATTTGTACCGACAGTCGGTCACGATAGAGGACTGCAGGGTGGGTGGGTTGGTGCGAGTGAGAGCGAGACCATGTCTCTTTCTCGAGGGTGGCTATTGACGGCATATTGCTAATTTCTCGGCGGCATGTTGCAAGTGGGCCAAGCCTTATACCGAAGGTTGCCATGGGGTCCAAACCAGTGGGCCAAGCCTTATAATACCCATGTTCAGAGGTCTTTGGAATTTTGATGGAGAAATTTCAAAAGAAAAAGAAACACGTAATCAGCAATATCACCTCTTCTCTTGTCAATCCCCTGTCTTGTCCTCCCCCCTCAAGGCCACCAAGGGGGGGGGGGGGGGGGGGGGGGGGGGGGGGGGGGGGGGGGGGGGGGGGGGGGGGGGGGGGGGTGGAGGTTCATTTATGAGGGGGAGAGGAGGGGGGGGAGAAGCTGCTGGCTTGTACGGGGAGAAATTTGTCTTGCTAGGTTTCTCACACGTGACGTTGAATTGTACACAGTGTAGATGAATAGATCCCGAGTTCAAGTCCAGATGAATACAATACCGTTTTTTGAAGATTAAGATAAGGTGAGTCAGAGGAAGTAGCTGGGAAGTTTCGCCGATCCTCTAAGGTGGTTTTTTTTTTTTTTTTTTTTTTTTTTTTTTTTTTTTTTTTTCTTTTCTTTTCTTTTCTTTTCTTTTTTTTTTTTTTTTTTTTTTTTTTTTGCAGCCAGAGTGTCGTATGATCCAGGTGCTCCAGCCTGGTTCATACGACGGCCACTTTTGAATTATAAAAGCCGGAAAATGGGTCTGGCGTCGCTTACATCATACAAAAGGTTATCCCAATGTGAACAGCCCCTACCCTACAATCCATTACAGGTCTACAAAACAAATTCGACGAAATGACAAAATTCCTAATTGTGTACAATGCGGATGACCTAAAAAGAAAACAGCGAAATCAACCCTACGAAAACAAAGCCTATCACCCTTAGATACACCCAACCCTGCAAATCCACCCTGCCACCCGCGCGGCAGGGATCTGTGACCACAGACCAAGCAAACCCACCCACCTCCTCGCGATTCAAAGCAGATCGCTCAACCCCCCACGTTACCTATGCAAAAACACCAACTCCCTCCATGATGGTGTATCAGCAAACCCTCCGAAATACCCCACCACCCGCGTGGCAGGGGCCATGATGAAAATCCTGCAGAGTGACGCTCTCCAGTCCCACAAGATAAGGATGATAGAAAAAAAAAAAAAAAAACAAGTACTTGTAAAGAGATGAACGCAGTCCCATAACATTAACGAACCTGCAGAAGCGCCCTACCACCCGCGCGGCAAGGGTCGAAAGACCCTGCAAACCCATACCCCTCCTCACGTTTTAGGGCAAACTGCTCCCCCAGTCAGCATCAACCCTCTAAAAAGCCCCGCCGCCCACCATGACAAGGCCTTCGCAGAGCGACACTCCCACGTTCATCTCACCCCATCACAACCATAACTATCAAGTAGGGCTACAAACAATTCGGTGGAGTTGAACGGAAAATGAACTCCAAAACCAAAAATCCACTAAGCAACCTAAAAACCCTATCACAAGAACTCTACCAAAACGGCAACAAAAATCTAAAACACCTATTAGACTCTTGAGTCTTAACCTGACTTAATAGCAACATTTTGCAAACACGCCTTAAAACGACGACTAAATCTAATAATCAGCAAAACGAAACAAAAAAAAAACAGTTCAAAACAAAACAAAACAAAAAACCAACGAAACAAACTTAACGAACCCAATCAACAAAATTAGAAATAGCAATTCCCCAAACCGCCAGAACACCATAAGCGCAAGACTCTAGTAATGGAAACAAAAACAAACCCTAAACCGGAGAAAGTGTTCCCCCTCTGTTATGACAAGGAAAAGAAAATTGCCAGATGTCTCCGACAGTGAGCTGAGCACAACCCTATCGTGCCAAAGTCACCCGCTCTTTTCTCAATAGTGAGGGGGGCGAAGACCAGAGTTGCTGCGGTCCTTGTTAGCATCTTCCAACAAGCAGTAGCTTCAGCTCATTTCGGGCAGTCTCCACGAGAATCTCCTTTCGAAGACAGCGTCCGACGCCAGCGATCCACATGGCTACATATTGGAGATCAGGGGGCTGGAGCCCCTGATCAAGCTTTATTTATAGTATGTCGGCGACTAGCAGGGGGCTGGAGCCCCTGATCAAGCTTCATTTATAGTATGTTGGCGGCTAGCAAACCCTGCGTCGTGGTGAGCCCCGCATACGACTCTCTCCCTTTGCGACCTAACAAGGATTGCCGGCTCCCACCGACCAAGGCCAGCCATAGCCAGGGGCGTGGTAAGACCCCTGTTGGACGGCAACCCATCTCGTGCCCACACAAGCGATTCACCCCCTTGCGTCTGTGCCATTCTGCCGGCGAGTTCTGGCATGCATACAGTGCCTGTGTTGCGCTGCGTGTGTAAGCGATCCCCTACCGTTTGCCGCTGCGTCTGCTCTTCAGGCTTGTTCCCATCAGTTTATTTATTTATTTATTTATTTATTTATTTTATTTTAACTACACTATGTTCTTCTTCTTTTTTTCTTTTTTTTCTTTTTTTTTTTAACTTCACTATGTTCTTCTCTCAAATTCTTTTTCGCCTTTCACTACCTTCCTACCACTACTCTTAAGACTATATAGAGGGGATCCCTTTAAGTTTTTAGTTTAGTTTTTTTTTGTTTTTTTGTTTGTTTGTTTTTTTTTTTTTTTTTTTTTTTTTTTTTTTTTTTTTTTTTTTTTTTTTTTTTTTTTTTTTTTTTTTTTTTTTTTTAACTTCACTATGTTCTTCTCTCAAATTCTTTTTCGCCTTTC